TTTTTTTGGAGCGGACGGGTGTGCGCTGACTGGAGGTCTCTGGGCTAGCGAGTCTGGACGCGGGCTGGCTTCCAGTACGGGCTCACACGCGGATCATGGGCTTGTTGCCTGTAATAATTAACAGGCCTATGATGTTAACTGAGTCACACTATTTCACGGAAATTGTATATCACTAAAAAAAATCATTGTCTAAAAGAAAACTTAAATAATCATGGAATATGCTTTTGGAACCCGGACACGTTTGAAAAATACAAAATCACACTTCAAAGTTCCAAAGAAAAAAACTGAAACAAAAAATAACACGCATACGTAGGAATGTATACTACATTTCTATAAATTTTCATGACAAAAACATTCTGGTGTGATCTAAAAAATAAAATCATGTATCTCTAGCACATGCACTGTTCACTATAAAATTCAATGATTTTGTTTTTGTGTGTATAAAGGCAAATACTGCACCTACAGAAACATAAACATCCATACTTATGTTTCATTTTTCAGGAAATTTTTCAAAAATTCAAATGGTATTTTTTGACAACCAGGCTTCCCTGGAGCCGGTGAGCAACAAATCTGCTCTTAGAGATCTCCAATAGATAATGTATTTTATACACCAAAAATGATGTGAGTAAAATATACATCACCAAAGAACGCCCAACTCCAACAGTAAATGTAAAATACAGTAGCCGGGCCGCTCCAACGGAAGATGTAAAATAGTCTAGGTGCGCGACAGCTAATCCGCAATTTCATATTTTTTTTATAGAAAAACTTTCGATCTATTTGTCTTCAATCATGACAGTACACGAACATCAAAAGTAATAAAAGTTACATCCAGATATGTAGGCCACCTAGCGACGACTACATGCACTGAAACGACCCGAAAGTGCACCATCATAGCCCCTCCCTTGCTTGAGCCGGGTAAAATTTGTATAATAGACAGTCGGGAAGTCATCGTGTTAAGACCTCATAGGACCAGCGCACTAGAACAACAATCGCCGCCGATGAAGAGTAGTGTAGATCAGAAGGATCCAACCTGAAAGCACACGAATGTTGATGAACGGTGATCTGATCCAGAAACAGATCCACCAAAGACACATGTCCACCGACAATGCTAGACACGCCCGGAACGGGGCTAAGTGATTAGAACCTTATTCCATCTTCATGAAGCCCACCGTCTCGCCTTCATGAATAGGACACAAATCCTAACAAAATCTAAAGAGACAATTAAAAACGGAGCCCAACCGGAGATGAACTGTCAAAATCATCTCAAATCAACCATAAAAACAAACAAAACAACAACTTGAGCTAAACTGAACCTGATCTAGGCTGGAAAAAATGTATATATTTGAATATACATGAACTTGAGCATATAGAACGTTATCTGAGCTATACATAATATTATATTGTTTCTATTTTACTTCCTCTATCCCATAATATAAGAAACGCTCCTGGTTCCAGCGCCTCCGCGGCGATGCCAACGGCCTCATCCTGGCTGCTGCTAGGTGCCTGGGATGGGCAGGGCGCGCGGATCTCACCGAAATCGAGGAAGCAGAGGGACCTTGATTGATTTTTTTTTGCGGGGAACCTTGATTGATTCGTGTAGGAGGACCGCCGCCGCCGCTGCAGTTCTTCTCGCATTGCCGGGTTTAATTGGGTTTTGCTTTGGTGCTAAGGGATGTATATTTGTATCACTTGCGGATGTATTTGAGATTTTTTTTCATGTACATGATCTGTTGATGGGATGGGCCTTGTTGATGTATACTTCCTCGGTTCCCGAATATAAGTTTTTTTAGAAATTTCAATAAAAAACTACATACGTATGAAACAAAATGAGTAAATCTATGCTCTGAAATATTATATTCATATACATCCATGTATTGTAGTCCATTTTAAACCTTTAAAAGGACTTACATTTAGGAACTGAAGGAATATTTCGGATTTCTACGTCTACAGATGCTCCTACTATTTCAGCCCTACTTCACCTTTTTCTAGTCCGACCCAAATTTGCCAGCTCTATCCATCCACTGCATAATTAAACAGTAGAGTACCATCAAAGTGTTTCGTCAACTCATGCGATTTCCACGTGCTCTAATAGTGGTCCAACCCAGCGCGCCATCAAATACGTAGCTGCGTGCGCTCGTTGACCGCTGGTAGTACCTCCGACACTCTTCCCTCCTGCCATAGCAACGATGGACGGCGCCGGGAGGAGGAGGAGGACGACGACGGCGTGCGTGACCGGCGCGGGCGGCTTCGTGGCCTCGTGGCTCGTCAAGCTGCTCCTCTCCCGCGGCGGCGGCCGCTACGCCGTCCACGGCACCGTCCGTGACCCCGGTGAGTTCTCGAACCGTTGGATTCTTCCGTGACCGTGACCGATGCTGAACGAAGATTCGGTCTCCTGTTGCTGCCGGAAGGCGACGCCAAGAACGCGCACCTGGCGGCGCTGGACGGCGCCGCGGAGAGGCTGCGGCTGTTCAAGGCCGACCTGCTGGACTACGGCAGCATGGCGGCGGCCATTGCCGGCTGCGACGCCGTCTTCCACGTCGCCTGCCCCGTCCTCGCCAACCACACCCCCAACCCCGAGGTACCTTTTCCCCTTTCCCCTTTCCCTCTCTCGTTTTCTTCTCCGAAATTCAGTCAATAAACGGGTACAGGGGAACACGTCCTGTTCTGTTCTTGTAATCCAGCAAGCGCCTCCGTGTTTCTGCAGGCTGATTTAATTGCCCCTGCTGTGACTGGCACGATGAACGTCCTGAAAGCTTGCTCCGAAGCTAAGGTCAAGAGGGTTGTGATGGTGTCCTCCGTCGCTGCCGTCATGGTGAACCCCAGCTGGCCGGAAGGCAAGCCCATGGATGAAGACTGCTGGTCTGACGTCGACTACTGCAGAACCACAGAGGTGAGACCACCAACCAAATCACGAATCATGATCGTCCCTGTAAGTACGGCGTGATTAATTTCTTGACATGACACAACTCACTGCAGTGTGATGTGACACTTGTGCTAGAAAGTGTACAGGGATTATGAAGAATTGGATTGTCTCCAGTGAAATGCGTTTCAAACATCATTTCAGTCCCCTTAGTTATGCAGAAATGTGGCTTCAGTCTTCGCAGTTTCTAATCCTGCCTCCTATCATTCTGTCAGAATTGGGATTTTTTGTCCAAAAGGATTTTTTGTCCAAAAGGACCCCCTGCCGAACGCTATTGTCAAAAAGGACTATCTGCAGATAAAAACGTCAAAAAGGACCCCCTAACTAGTGGCGGCAGGTGCGGCAGGCGACACGTGGCACCTGCCGCCACTAGGTGAGGCGGCGGGCCCCGCCGCCACCGCAGGAGGCGGCCGCGCGGTGCACAACGGAATCTTCCCTCTGCGTCGCGCCGCGACGGAACGGGGCGGGCCAGGTGGGCCCGGCCGCCACCGGGTGAGGCGGCCAGCCCTGGCGCGGTCGCTGCCTGGGCGACAGGCCCTGATGCGAGCGGGCCCCGCAGGTGGGCCTCGCCGCCACTGGCTGAGGCGGCCACCCCTGTCGACAGCAGCACGGAAGGCTAGGTCCTGGCGCTGATTCCCATGGCACTGATTCCCACGCGCGAAAACTGGCGGGGCGGGAATCACTCTGGCACTGATTGTTGTTGCTTTTGCTGATTCCCACGCGCGGCAAACGACGAATTTCACGAGTGGCTTGTTGCTTTGCTTTTGCTCCTTGCATGCTGTTGCTGATGATGTTGATTTTCACGCGCGGGAATCCGAGGCTGCCGACACTACAGGGATCCTCTCCCTTTTATATGCCATGCTTCAGCTCCGTGCGCAAGCACTCTGTAACCTCGTTCCTCTCCTTTGCTCTCTAAGTCTCTAAGTACAGAGAGAAAAGAAAGCTCAGTAAGCACTTTCACTCGTGATTTAGGGCGATTTAGAGTTGGATTTTGAGGATGATGAAGTTGAAGAAAAGATAGATTAAGGTAAGATCTATCCATTTTTGTTGGTTTCATTCGCATGCACGATGTTTTTATTCTATTTGATTAGTTCCTAAGTGTGTATTCTATGTTGCTTTAGGCATTATTTCAGCACTTGGAGGAGTCATTTGGAGTTTCTGTAGTAGGAATAGCCGTGCAAAGTGAACTACGAAGTTGAAGATCAAGGTATGAGCTTTGCAATACATTTATTTATTTATGCATGCAGGGTGGTAATTAGTTCATCCTTTAGCTCGTTATTAGCTATGTGATGGTAGTGCTTAGAGGTTAGAAATAATTTCAGACGAGAGATATAGCATTTAAACTATTTTTTTGAAATAGTAGGTTGAAGATGTTGCATCAATGTTAGGTGCGTCCATTAGTATTGACATGCGGGAAATCTTAATACAGTAATTAAGAAAAAATTGTACTCTAATTGTTTATTGCATGCGGTATGTTATTTTATGTGGTATGTTATTTTATGTGGTATGTTTATTAATAAGTCACAATAATCTAAATTTTATATGTTAAGATTAGGTGCTAATGTATGATGTATGTAATTAGGTAAAATAATTCATCTTAGTATCAAACAAGGAGGAGAAGACGTGATTGAAGAAATTGTGTTTCCATTTTCGCTGTCCCATTTTGAGGTGATGAACACATACATGAAAGTGCTATTTTCATACTTTTGTTAGCAGGAAGAAAAATCCGTGTGTAATATTGTTGTTAATGTGATAATAGGTTGACGAGGTTCATATAGTACCGGCGACGGATATTGCATTCGCAAGCATATCCATATTGCAGCTAAGGTAAAAAATGACACTGTAATTTTGTTAATATTTTTTGTATTGATGTAGTATTGTGAATAATGTGCATGCTGCTGCAAATATTATTATTTGTAGATAAATGATTGTTATCGTATGATGTGAAAAAAATTATATAAAGCCGAAAGAAATTAAATGTTTTACTCATATGATATGAAAATGTTATTATCGTATTATTATGTTTACTGGTTGTTTGGATAGCGAGTAATTAGCATGAGTTTTGTCATAACATGGGTATAAAATGACGCCGTAATTTTGTTAATATTTTTTATATTGATGTACTGTCATGCCGCTGTAAATATTATTATTTGTAAATAAATGAATTTTATCGTATGATATGAAAAACATTATATCATGCCGGAAGAAATTAGATATTTTACTCATATGATATTTAAATGTTATTATCGTAATATTATGTTTAGTGGTTGTACTTACCCTCAGTTTTGTCATAACCTGTTGTAAGGAAATTATGTAGAAAACCACATTTTACTAATAGTCGTTTTTCCAGAAGCTAAGTTTTTGCATGTTACGAGAACTATTTTAGGATATTTTTGGGGTAGTTAGAGAAAAGCAAACAAAGTTTTAGTTTGTTACGCTCGTAGACAAGTTTGAGAAAAATAGATCTTTAAATACCCGTTAACCAAACAACCCCTTAAAGTCTAAACAAATGATTCTAAAAACAAACCGAATATTTCTAATGAAAATACAATTATTATTTTAGTCGTAAGATATGTAAATGTTGTCATCGTTACTAAATGTTCAGTTATTAATTATTTGAAATGTAAACATGTATGTTGGTTAGGTACTATGGAAAATTTAGTAGTGTACTATGGGAACGTCTTACGCGACGGTCCATGCGGGGTGGATGTGTCCTTCTGCGAGTCGACTACAGTAGTGGTGAGAGACATGGTCAACGTGGGTTACGCAGCTGTTAGAAGGTGCATCCGAGCGGTGTTTGGCCCAGTGATGCAGGAAAAAAAAATGACAATGGAGGCCTTCGTCATTGACGGAGGAAATGATGGGACAGTTGCCCGTTGGGGTTTGCGGCCTGTCACAGGTGATCGGTCGTGGGGGTCGTACATGAGGTTTGCAAGCAATCCCAATAACTCAATGTATGGTCAGCCGATGGTGTATGTGGAGTTCATTTCAGTCACTGATGTTGCCGGATGCAGTAGCAGGGGTGGTGAGGTCGAGTTGGCCATCACATCAGCCCCTAGCATCGGCCCATCGGAACCGACGGGCGGCCAGCCTGTGTATGACACAGGATATTGGTCGGCGGCCGTTGACATGAGCGAACACGTGGAGGGATTGCCGGAGGCGCTAGATGATGATGATCATTCTTCTGCGTCTTCGGAGTCAAGCGGAGAAGAAGATGTTCCTCCTCAGAGGGCGGTCGCGGCGGCACTGCAACCTGGGTTTTTACAGGATATGAGCATCACCAACGAATTTCACTCTGCTTCTGGCCTAGGAGCGGGAAGCCTGGAGGTTGGGCAAGTTTTCCCAGATAAGAAGTCTGCTTACCAGGCAATGGGTAGCTATGCAATCGGCATCCACCGCCAGCATAGAGTGAAGCAGTCTGATAAAAAAGAGTTGAAGGTCATATGCATCCACACCGCGAAAGGTTGCCGCGGAAGAGTTCTCGCTAGACTGAAGCCTGGGGTATGTCAGTCATGGCATATCACAAAAATAGTGGAGCATACCTGTGAGCAAACTGGGACTCTTTCAGATCACTGCAATGTGACAGCAAAATTTGTGGCACAGACGATGGAAACAATTGTGCAGGGAAGTCTCAACATTAGTGTTAGGGCTCTGCAAAAAGATGCAGAGGATCTAATTGGATTCCCTGTTAGCTACAGCAAGGCTAGGCATGCGAAGGAAAATATATTTAAGAACTTGTATGGTACCTATGAGGAGGCATATTCTTATGCCCCTAGAATGCTTCATCAAATAGCAAGTGCTAATAGGGGGACTCAAGTTTGGCGGAGAGAACGTCCAAACGCAATGAACCCGGGTGAGCTAATCCTGGACCGCTTATTCTGGGCATTCGCCCAGACTATACAAGCCTTCAGGCACTGTCGCCCGGTATTATCTGTTGATGGTACCTTTCTCACTGGAAAGTACAAGGGCACACTATTGGTGGCGATTGCAGCGGATGCAAATAATCAGCTTCTTCCTATTGCATATGCATTGGTCGAGAGCGAGAACAAAGATAGCTGGTTGTGGTTCCTGAGCTGCGTGAAGATGGGTGTCGTGAAAGAGCGTAAAGGTGTTTGCATCATTTCTGATCGCAACACTGGATTATTAAGCGCTCTTGAAATAATTAAGGCGTCGGAAGAAGAGTGGGGCTGGCCCGATCTAGAGGGAAGGTGGTGCATGAGGCATTTGGCAGCAAACTTTTACTCCAAATTCAAAAACAAGGATTGGTTCAAGTTATTCAAGAGGATGTGCATGCAAAAAACTGTAGCCAAAATGAATGCGATATGGGCAGGTATCAATGGTGAGATCGACCGCGCGGCCTTGCCGCAGAGAGAAGACCGGAGGGGTCGTAGGACGGTCATAAATTTGAGCCAGTGGATCACCGAGAATTGCCCTCATTTGGAGAAGTGGGCACAGGCTCACGACACCGGGGCTCGGTATGGAATAATGACCAGCAACATGTCAGAGGTGTACAATGGTGTTCTTAAAGGGGTGCGAGCACTGCCTATCACAGCCCTAATTGAAGAAACTTGGAACCGGACCCTGTCATACTTTGCAGACAGGGTCACCGTCGCCAAAGCACAAGTTGAATTGAACAAGCCATGGTCCGAGAAGATGCAAAGACATCTGGACGAGAAAGCAAAGAAGTCCCAAAGTCATGGCTGCAGGAAAGTGGACGCACTTAGGAATAAGTGGGAGGTCAATGTGCGAGCCAAGTACGTTAAGGGTCACCACAGAGAATCAAAAAAGCAAGCTGTCACCCTTGGCTCAACCTCCTATGAGTGCACTTGTAACAAGCCCAAGCTTGAGGGCTACCCTTGCAGTCATGTGCTCCGGGCGGCTGCTGTTCAAAAAATCAGCGTCGAGCCATACATATCGCCGTACTTTAACATGTACAATCTATACAACACTTGGAACGGTGAGTTCTGGGC